TTAAAAAATGTCATGCATGAAAACAGTAAAACAAAATGCTCGTGCAGTTTATGGCTTTCGTAATTCGTGGTAAAAGGCAAGCATTAGAGGTAATACATGGCATTAGAGGTAGTACAGGGCATTAGAGGTAGTACAGGGCATCAGAGGTAATACAGGGCATTAGATGTAATACAGGGCATGATAGGAAATACAGGGCATTAGAGGTAATACAGGGCATTAGAGGTAATACAGGGCATGATAGGAAATACAGGGCATTAGAGGTAATACAGGGCATTAGAGGTAATACAGGGCATGATAGGAAATACAGGGCATTAGAGGTAATACAGGGCATGATAGGTAATACAGGGCATTAGAGGTAATACAGGGCATGATAGGTAATACAGGGCATAAGAGGTAATACAGAGCATGAAAGGTAATACAGTGAGTGAGTGAGTTGGGTTTTGGGTGAGTTAGTGAGTGAGTGAGCGAGTATTTCAGTTATATCACGGCGTGTCAGCTTAATGTGGGAGGAAAGCCCCACGTGGTGCAGGTGTTAGACGTTTACCACCTCGGTGAAACTCACGAGCACGGGTATAGTGCTGACAAACCTGTCGAACCGTGATTCGAACCCACAATCATAGGTTTCTTTCGTGCCCAAGGGACGCAACTCTGCACAGCGAATCGCGGCGCCTTAGACTGGGCCACCCGTCCCCCCAGAGGTAAAACAGGGCAACTACTACAACTTTGTTATACAAACACTTAGGATTATATTTCTTACTAGGGGGAACAGCCAGACGGATATACGATTCAATAAGGTGTTAGCCAAGGTAGTGAAATCTCTGCTTGTTTTTTCTTATTTTATCAATGATCTAATTACAGCCCTCGGACAACCACAATGTGGCCTTCGTGCATAAGTATGGGTATTCCTACAGTCGTGCAGGGTGACGTTTCTACTCTTGTGGGCGCATCACCGAGAGGCTTACAAAGGTCCCTTTGATATTGTACATACATATGCCTAAGGGTGGCACCTAACGTGTAATTCATCAACAAGCTCAATAATTGTGTTCACCAAAGCAAAACGCAAGGGGCATAGCTTCGTGATACACATATTACTACCACTGATTCTACAGTATATGGTGGGATACTCGTAAAATATAATCTTACCTGTAAAACAAGAATTTAGACATGCCGTCAGAATGCAAGACAACATTTCATTATAATCGCAATAGGGCCGCAATATTGCCGATGCGATGTAAAATTTTAACTCACTCCCTCACATATCATTAAACCACCTAATAATAAGAGGCTGGAATTCGGTGTTTTCAGACATTGGCCTTCCAGAAGCGTTCCCATCCCAAAACTGGAGAACGATCAAGCATGTCCTGGCATTTTACTCGCCCTTCAAACATTTTCTGCCGCTGAAAACACTCTCTACTGTCACCTAACATGACAGACAGCTATCCAAAACACCAATGACCAAAAGATATCGTGTTATCATCTGCGCCATGACAAGGACTTGCGACCTTTTTGGCTTCAGGTCTTCCTCTGCGGGCACCTGGAAACACGGAGTCCACATCCTGCAGGACCGTTGCGAGATCAGCAGGCCCTCTCCGAGGCTGGAGATTGTGGATGGATGTGAACAGCTCTATCTTGGTAGTGTAGCTGTTGAACCGGACCTGGGACACCGTCTGCTGACCAAATGTGACCACGCTGACGGGGAAGGTGTCGGAGGCGCCAATGAGGAAGTTGAGGACGTCGTTCCATAGAGAGAAGGTTTGAGTGCTGGCCTCCACGAGGTACACCAGGTCGATGGCGCGGGTGAAGCCACATACTGGAACAGCAGATAGAGCGGTACATAGAAACTCCCTCACCCCAGTCGCATGTCTTATTCATATCCATCAGCTGATTTGGTTAAGAACTGGAGAACATAATTTTGGTTTTCGAATAATGAAATAATTTGAGCTTAAAGGACAATCCATGATGAAAATGAAAAATATCCCAAATATCACCTGATCACTCATCAACAGGTATGTATTCTTTGATATTTAGAAAATTATAATTCTTCAGTGTATAGTTTTCTACTCGACCATTTTAACATGGTACGAGCGTCAGCAGATAATGTGTTAAACAACTTTGGAAAAAGTTTGATAAATTTATGCAGTATATTAAATATACATATCATGAATGGAAGATGTGGGTCAGACTCAGAAGTTGGAGACTGTACGTTTATTGGCAATCAAGGTGCTAGCGTGATAGATTACATAATCTGTTCATCTGGGTTGTTTGACGTATGCTGTAATTTCAACATTGTATCACGCACGGAATCCTGTCATCTTCCTGTCATGGCTAGCTTACATACTTCTGTGCAGACTGAACCCGTGCAAGCTCATGGTAATAAGAAGGCTTCCAAATTCGTTTGGGTCAATGATAAAGCTGACCAATATATGTTTAACTTGTTGACCAGTGAATGCTACTCTTTATTAGGAAAGGCTGTTGACGAGGTGTTACACAATTTAGACGAAAGTGTTAGATACATGTCAAAGGCCTTCTGCACGGCAGCAAGCGACATGAAAAGAGTGTGTACTTCTAACACATCTAGTTAACAGTGGTTTCACCGTGAATGTGAGCTATTCAAAAAAGAAAGATGTATATATTTAAACAATTTTAGGAGATAAAAAGGATAATAACTCATTACATGAGTATAATTATATTAGAAATAAATATAATAGTGTATGTAGAGAAAAGAAAAGGAATGTTTTAAAAGAGAAGCCGGAAAAACTTTAACATTGAATACGTGATTCTAAACAATTTTGGGCCACTCTTAAAGGGCTAAATACTAATCGTTATACACAAAACAATATTCCAATTGATGATTGGTTTAACCATTTCAGGGGTCTGTTTTCAACTTCTACAGAGAACGAGGAAAAATGTTTTGATATCGACGAATCGAATGCATTTGATAACTCTTTTTAGCTTCAGATATTCTTGTTTCACCTAAAACAAGAAAAGAAATTTCAGAAAGCATCGCAAACTTAAAAAGCAATAAAGCAGCTGGTGAAGATAATCTGATTCCTGAATTTTTTAAATATTCGTCCGAAATTCTCCTCCCCTACCATTAAATCCTTTTTAACGTTATGTTTGAAAAGACGTATTTTCCAGAACAGTGGACTTTGGGGATTGTAATTCCTCGGGCCTCGGGCCTTGATTGTGGGTCAGACAATCCAGTGATTAGCATCATAAACATCGATCCACGCAATTGGGATACGATGACATGCACCAACCAGTCACCGAACCTGACCACCCGATCCCGTTAGTCGCGCATGGTAGGAAAATCAACCTTTTTCATCATGTTTTAGTAATGCTCTTTGAAAATGTAGTGCCACAGAGTGGTGCCGCCTAAAGACCCACACATGATCACGTGGTCACAATGTGTCACCTGGGTGACTCTACGTCATCATGATGAGAGATCTCCGCGATATTGCTGGAATAGTGGTTAAAGCGTCAAAAAGTCCAACCCACTGACTGTCAATCACTGGATTGTCTGACGCACAATCAAAACACAATCATGACACAATCATGACACTATTCGGGATCACAACTTTGTAGCACAGTCTGTTATTAGAAACATCACAGTGAACTGTGGGGAACACCAGAAAGCGGTGAACACAGACTCACTATTATTTTATAGACAATGTATGTACGCTGTATACATATGCAGATAAATGCATATCATAAACTGACAAGGTGTCACCGGCATTATCTGATCTCCGTCTGTGAAGTTGCCATGGTGATAGTGATGAATGAATAAAAGCACACGTCTATTCAACATTGAATACAGGGAGATGTGAATATACCATACATATTATAACAGACAGTCTATATCTGTGTATATTCTCCACGATTATAACTTTCATCTGCTCCACATACGCACGTCTCCATTCAACAAAGTAACATGATAACCTTCCTTGTCTCCCGACCCGTGAAGATCAGGGTTAGAATAGGTCTTGGTAAGAGGCAACTAACGGGATCGGGTGGTCAGGCTCGCTAAATTGGTTGATGTATGTCAACGTATCACAACTGCGTAGATAGATGCTCATGATATCAATCACTGGATGGTTGGGTTCGGACTCGATTATTTACAGACCGCCGTCATATAGCGGGAATATTGCTGAGCTCGGCGTTAAACTACAAACAAGCAAACAACCAGCTTATTTACTGATTCTGTGATTTAGTAGACGCCCATAGTGTCCGTTTCCAGTTCCAGACCGCCTCCGTGGTCTAGTTGTAGAGCGTCTGCCCGGAGAGCGGAAGGTCCGGGGTTCGATTCCCGGCCGCGTGATACCAAGACGTTAAAAGATGGTACTTGTTGTAAAACCAGGATTTAGCGGCTCGGTTTCAGTATACTGTGTCTGAGTGGGGTATTCATGTTAAACTGCGGAATGGTATCTCAGTGAGATGGTATCTCAGCACTATAAATTGGCATCAGTCCGAACTAGTACAAGCAGTCACACACACACACACACATACACACATACACACACACACGTGCATGCATGTCGCTATATGAGTGCAATAATCTGGACGCGACGTTGAACTCCATTTCACCACCACCACCCATTTCCAGTTCCATCACACCAGAGCCATGCCATGTGTCTCTGTTTCCGCGATCACAAGTGTTCTCCACGACTCTCCAACACACCAGAGCCATGTCATGTGTCTCTGTTTCCGCGATCACAAGTGTTCTCCACGACTCTCCATCACACCAGAGCCATGTCATGTGTCTCTGTTTCCGCGATCACAAGTGTTCTCCGCGACTCTCCATCACACCAGAGCCATGTCATGTGTCTCTGTTTCCACGATCACAAGTGTTCTCCACGACTCTCCTTCACACCAGAGCCATGCCATGTGTCTCTGTTTCCGCGATCACAAGTGTTCTCCGCGACTCTCCATCACACGGTGTGAAGTCTCCGATGTGAGAACTGCAGGTGGCGAGGTGTTTATTGCTGTCGGGTCATTGAAGAATGGCTGCCAGAGCTATAGCCATGTATCAAAGCCGTCGTGATCAGAGATACCCGCCTGGTCTGTTTTCATTAAGCAAGAAATTCTACTAATTGAACATCAATTAGACTGCAGTACGAGCGTGATGATATTTCAGGATATTCTAGCATGGATATTGTTAACAGCTTTTAGGAGGTCAATGTCAAGGTCACCTGTTTCCAAAACTTACCTTTAAAGTTGTTACGATTTTAGAGAACGATAAATTCTATTATTTTTGCGAAACATTTCCTGTACAGAGGCCATACTTTAAACCTATCAGTCTTGCACATAAAAGGTCAAGGTCACCTTTATAGTTATTGTCATGTGTTATCCCGATGAAGGGCCTTGAACTCACGGGTACGGTTGAGGTCACTGTGAAGGTCGTTGGTTAAGTGGAGGTGTCTATTTGATTGCTTCATCATGTTCTGGGTAGTGTGTAAAGACGTTTTCCTCAAATAGTTATATAATTATATTAAAAGTCACGTTAGAAGAACGTACATAAGGGTTACTTCACCTTTGGATTAACGTTAACAGAAATGAAACTGTAGATAGCATATTCCAGCACCAGACCTAGAATAGAACCCTGTCCACGTATTACCGGATCCTGATGATCCCTTTAGGAGGTGTTGTCAAGCTTGCTTTACGGGGAGGAATGGGGGGCAAGGGGCTCATCTGCCTTAAGGCGCCGCGATTCGCTGTGCAGAGTTGCATCCCTTGGGCGCGCCAGAAACCTGTAATTGTGGATTTTAATCCCGGTTCGCCACGATTGTTTCTCGGTTTGACAACACCATACCCGTGCTCGTGGGTTTCACCGAAGTGGTAAACGTCCTGCATCACTGCATCACTTCGGGCTTTCCTCCCACATTAAGACACGCTGTCCATTATCTGGAATAATGTTAAAAGCGACGTTAAACCCAACTCACTCACTCACTCACTCACTCACTCACTCACTCACTCACTCACTCACTCACTCACTCAAGGAGTGTGAACAGGCCGCCTTCATATTGGTGAATTATTGGTGAAACACCATTCACCCATTCACCGTGACAATCACAGTCAACACGTGCAGCACGAAACATGACACCGCCAATCTGCCCCATAGCTTAGCCCGGGGTGTCAGTGAGGCACAGGGACGTTGACCTGTACCCTAGTTTGTCCGGGGGTTTCAGTGATGTACAGGGACGCAGACCTGTGCCCTAGTGTCCCTTGGGTGTCAGCGAGGTACAGGGACGCACACTTGTGCCCTAGTTTCCCTTGGGTGTCAGCGAGGTCCAGGGACGCACACCTGTGCCCTAGTTTCCCTGGGGTGTCAGCGAGGTACAGGGACGCACACCTGTGCCCTAGTTTCCCGGGAGTGTCAACGAGGTACAGGGACGCACACCTGTGCCCTAGTTTGCCCGGGCGTGTCAGTGAGGTACAGGGACGCACACCTGTGCCCTAGTTTGTCCGGGAGTGTCAGCGAGGTACAGGGACGCACACCTGTACCCTAGTTTGCCCGGGTGTGTCAGCGAGGTACAGGGACGCACACCTGTGCCCTAGTTTCCCGGGAGTGTCAACGAGGTACAGGGACGCACACCTGTGCCCTAGTTTGCCCGGGCGTGTCAGTGAGGTACAGGGACGCACACCTGTGCCCTAGTTTGTCCGGGAGTGTCAGCGAGGTACAGGGACGCACACCTGTACCCTAGTTTGCCCGGGTGTGTCAGCGAGGTACAGGGACGCACACCTGTGCTCTATTATGTATGTTGTAGACATCCTCTCTCGTTGTCTGGTCCAGAGGCGACTAACGGGATCGGAGGCCAGGCTCTCTGATTTGGTTGATGCATGTTATCGTATTCCAATTGCGTTGATCGATGCGTATGATGTCAATCACTGGATTGTCTGATCCAGACTCGATTATTTACAGTCGGCGATCATAAAGGTGGAATATACAAACAAACAAACAAATACAAATGCTGGATCCGCCCTTGGTGATATCGCGAGTCACTTCCTGAATCAACATGTCACGTCACTTTCCCTTCTCGCAGGTGAGCGGCGAATATTCTGTGGCGACCCAGGGGCGCGAGCTTATGAAGAGATCGACGTCATCCGCAGCGGCAGGAACTACGGCTGGAACATCAAGGAGGGGAACGAGTGCTTCGACAGCTCCAAGTGCAGCAATGGAACAATAGGTAGGTAGCCTTCGTCTCTCTCACCGTCAACATTTCACGAGACTGCCTCCTTGGTGTGACTAGAGTCTGCCCGGAGAGTGGAAGGTCGGTGGTTCGATTCCCTCCGCGTCATACCGACAGACGTTAACGATGATACTTGATGTTGTCCTGCCTGGCATTAGGGATATAACACAATTACTGTTCTACTCGGTGTATACGCACCTTCCCGAGGCAAGAGCGTCTACCAGCCTTTTTATCAATGTCTTGTTTCCACTCTTACCACATCAAGCCCAATTTCCTGTGCTAAATGTGGTTGGACCATCGCACAAATCGACAGTCCAATCAGAGAACGTTTTACAAAATCAACTTCCACGACTGGTACACCTTCGTATGTAGTGATTTGCCGCTGCCTGTCTTTGTTGACACGTCTTTTTCATATGTTAAACCCCCCAGCGATTGCCTATGGGGTTTTTTTGTGTCAGGGACGAAATCACGAATGTTTTCGTTATCTGATCGACTAGCCATCTTTGTGATGCTCTACGAGATAAGAACAGCGATCTGATTGGATATCGAGTTTTCATTACAAGGGGCACAGCTCGTGATCTTCGCGAGGTGGCGCCAGGGTGGAGCTAAGAAAAGTGGCGTTGATCTGGCAAGGGTAGAACCTAGGCAACCTGTCAGTCAGATATCCACAATTATCATTACAATATTTAGTCTTTGGAGAATATTTTGTATGTTTTGCTTGCCAGTTTTTAAGGTAAAGACTCGATCATGTTTTATTCAGGGTGAGGCGGGGTGGAGTGGGTGGTCTGTGTGCTTCGGGTAAAGACTCGATCATATTTTGTTCGGGGTGAGGGTTGGTTGAGTGGGTGGTCTGTGTGCTTCGGGTAAAGACTCGATCATATTTTGTTCGGGGTGAGGTGGGGTGGAATGGGTGGTTTGTGTGCTTCGGGTAAAGACTTGATCATATTTTGTTTCGGGTGGGGTAGGGTGGGGTTGTGTGGGTGATCTGTGTGCTTCCGGTAAAGATGGGGGCCATTCCAATTCTGTTTGGAAAAAGACAACATTCTGTAAACTTGTGATTACAGAGAACGAAGCACTGCCGATCTACGTGTACAATCACACCAACCTCTTTCATGCCGTCGTCGGGGGATATGTGTACAGAGGCAAGAAGCTTCCTGATCTGTACGGGCGCTATCTGTACGGAGACGCCATGACAGGGTGAGTAAATGCAGGTGTGTGGCCCGAAAGCTCATCTTACATGGAGGCACCACGGGAAACTTGGATCAGTTCACTCGGATTATGTGAAGGAGGTCATCCGTACCACTTGTAGGAGGTCCCCCCTACCACTTGAAGGAGATCACCTGTACCACCTGAAGGAAGTCACCCGTACCACTTGAAGGAAGTCATACGTAACATTTTAAGGAGGTCACCCGTGCCACTTCAAGGAGGTCACCCGTATCACTTGAAAGAGGTCACCCGTATCACTTGAAGGAGGTCACCCGTATCACTAGAAGGAGATCACCCGTATCACTTGAAGGAGGTCACCCGTATCACTTGAAGGAGGTCACCCGTATCACTTGAAGGAAGTCACCCGTATCACTTGAAGGAGGTCACCCGTATCACTTGAACGAGGTCACCCGTATCACTTGAAGGAGATCACCCATACCACTTGAAGGATGTCACCCGTATCACTTGAAGGAGGTCACCCGTACCACTTGAAGTAAGTCACCCGTACCACTTGAAGGAAGTCATACGTACCACTTGAAGGAGGTCACCCGTACCACTTGAAGGAGGTCACCCGTACCACTTGAAGGATGTCACCCGTACCACTTGAAGGAGGTCACCCATACCACTTGAAGGAGGTCACCCGTACCACTTGAAGGAGGTCACCCATACCACTTGAAGGAGGTCACCCGTATCACTTGAAGGACGTCATCCGTATCACTTGAAGGAGGTCACCCGTATCACTTGAAGGAGGTCACCCGTATCACTTGAAGGACGTCACCCGTATCACTTGAAGGACGTCACCCATACCACTTGAAGGAGGTCACCCGTGTCACTTGTAGGAGGTCACCCGTATCACTTGAAGGAGGTCATCCATACCACTTGAAGGACGTCACCCATACCACTTGAAGGAGGTCACCCGTATCACTTGAAGGAGGTCACCCGTATCACTTGAAGGACGTCACCCGTATCACTTGAAGGACGTCACCCATACCACTTGAAGGAGGTCACCCGTGTCACTTGTAGGAGGTCACCCGTACCATTTGAAGGAGGTCACCCGTACCACTTGTAGGAGGTCACCCGTACCACTTGAAGGTGGCTGTGATATTTGCATTGTGATCACCCATCAGTCTGTTCTTCCTTGTAATCCATGATTCCAACCATTTAGGAAGAGATACATACCTTTATGCGTGTCTGTGTCTGCGTCCGTGTCTGAATCTATGTTCGCGTATATTTGCATCTGTGTCTGAATCTATATCTGTCTCTGCGACCTTTCCTGCATCTCTGTCTGTTTTCAGAGTCATGTCGGCATTGACCGAGGGCAGCGACGGCTGGACATCGTCCCCGCTTCCGTGCCTGAAAAAATTGTCCGTGCGGTGCCAGGGCGCGACCTAGAAACTTCATACTGACCTTTGGTCAAGATGAACAAGGTTAGATCCCGAGGGTTAAGTCTTTATTCATCACCAAATGCCGAGTATACTGAAATAAACGTGTTTGTCTGTTTCCAAACTGACAGATTGACATTCTGTGTTTCTTCAGGGGAGATGTACCTTTTGACGACGTCTTCAATAACGGCGTTCAAAGACGACGGCGTTGCTTTGAAAATAGTGTCATCACTTGGGTGGGTACCTTCTAATATCTCGCCAGGACAACATTCTGTGCGGCTTAGTCTGTGTGGTGCGGCAATGTTTTAATCTACCCGTGTCACCCTCGACTTATATATATTTGAGTATCTGATCTCCATAACGACGTATAGTACTTGGATGATGACGTATCGGACGTCGTTCAGCAAGGACAGGCGATATCAGATATCTCATATATTAAATACAGATGCGCGTAGTCGTAACACTCCGACCTCTTCATGAACATAGGCCGTCGGATGACTGTCATTGATTGCTACAGGTAACAGTTGATCAAGCACTGCCTTCAACGGCTGAAGGTCCGATAACTGTTTTAGGAACCACACCATGTTTGTTTCAGGATCCAGTGAACAGTTTGTCTGTCTTTTGTGTAACCCTGAGGTCAAAGTATTGTTTCAAGTATTTGCAGAACAATATAACAAGCCTCTCCCCCTCCCCGTCCCCATCCCTCCGCACCCAACCCTCCCCATCCCCCTCTACATCCATCGTTCCACCACCCCCATCCCCCATCCCCACCCACCCTCCACTTTCTCCATCCCTTCACCTCCATCCACGGAGCATCAATGGCCTATCCCTATAGGTAGTATTATATCACATAGTTACAAGCAGTAGATATTTTCTGATGTTCTGTTTCAGGGAGAAGGCGGTAACTTGTGGGTGTGGTGGCAGGGGCGAGTCAACAGTCGTGGTGGTCATGCTGGTGATGTCGGTGCTGACGTGGTTCGGTTCTTGGATTGTTGAAGACGTCGACTGAAGACTTTATGTATTTGCTAGATCGTAATCCGAACTTATGTAATTCTTATAAACTGAGATGTTTGGTAACGGGAACTGTATGTCATATGCAGACCTCCACACACCAGGGTTCTGCATTTTTATATTGGAATATGTTTGGTCAGGAATGTGTCACAAAGTGCAAGATTCGAGGGTTGTTCTGGGGTAACCATGAGGAACTGGTATATTCACTGAACGTAGGCACGGATGTTTACAAGTGGTTGATATCAGCATGTATAAGGTAGTGTGGCTCAAGACGCGGGCAGACTTTGAGATGCATCACTCTGTGGAGACTTCTCTGAATGTTGTAATACACTTCATGATACGTTGACGTAAAATTGAGGTGAAGCACCGTGACAAAAAACTTTAAGTTTTTATTTAGATAGTTCGAAGCCTTGTATGTGTTTGTTACGAGAGGTGAAAGAAATGACCCAAGGACAATAAAATGATGTATTCTTTAACATGACCCCCCTTCAATATTGGCACGGTTTTGCCAGTGATGTTGGCGCTGTGTTCTCACATTTGCGACCGACTCCTCATTAGCCGGTGGTATCACCTCAACGTGGATCAACCTTTTGGATATCCACTCCTGGTGTATTGCATTAGCGTCGTTTCGATGTCGATGCTCACACCGTTATCAAGCTGATGCTTAACACACATGCAGCGACGAGGCACAACACACTCTCGCATTTTTTAATATTATGAAGAATCATTCATTTATTATTTAATGAGGAACAGTTTCAAGTCAAACGCACTATGCGTTATTATTTGACAACTCTATTTTACAATTACCATGCTTTGTTCTTCTTTAAGATTATAACTTCTTACATTTTTGTAATACATTTCTTGATGACACTTGATATCTGCAATTGCATACCCATGATATGTCAGGCATTGCATGTGTTGTGAGTAGGGCAGTAATGTATCTAGTAGGCTTTTGGATGTGTTATCAGTAGGTCAGTAATGTATCTATATTGGATATGTTGTGAGCAGGGCTGTAATGTATCTATGTTGGATCTGTTGTGAGCAGGGTAGTAATGTATCTAGTAGGCTATTGGATGTGTTGTGAGTAGGTCAGTAATGTATCTAGTAGGCTATTGGATGTGTTGTGAGTAGGTCAGTAATGTATCTCTATTGGATGTGTTATGAGCAGGGCTGTAATGTGCCTAGTAGGCTACTGGATGTCATGTGAGCAGGGCTGTAATGTATTGATATTGGATGTGTTGTGAGCAGGGCTGTAATGTGTCTAGTAGGCTATTGGATGTGTTGTGAGCAGGGCTATAATGTGTCTAGTAGGCTATTGGATGTGTTGTGAGCAGGGCAGTAATGTATCTAGTAGGCTATTGGATGTGTTGTGAGCAGGGCAGTAATGTATCTAGTAGGCTATTGGATGTGTTGTGAGCAGGGCTGTAATGTGTCAAGTAGGCTATTGGATGTGATGTGAGCAGGGCTGTAATGTATTTATATTGGATGTGATGTCAGCAGGGCTGTAATGTATCTAGTAGACTATTGGATGTGCTATGAGCAGGGCAGTAATGTATCTATATTGGATGTGATGTGAGCAGGGCTGTAATGTATCTAGTAGGCTATTGGATGTGTTGTGAGCAGGGCTATAATGTGTCTAGTAGGCTATTGGATGTGTTGTGAGCAGGGCAGTAATATATCTAGTAGGCTATTGGATGTGTTGTGAGCAGGGCAGTAATGTGTCTAGTAGGCTATTGGATGTGTTGTGAGCAGGGCTGTAATGTGTCTAGTAGGCTATTGGATGTGTTGTGAGCAGGGCAGTAATGTGTCTAGTAGGCTATTGGATGTGTTGTGAGCAGGGCTGTTATGTATTTATATTGGATGTGATGTGAGCAGGGCTGTAATGTATCTAGTAGACTATTGGATGTGCTATGAGCAGGGCAGTAATGTATCTATATTGGATGTGTTGTGAGCAGGGCTGTAATGTATCTAGTTGGCTATTGGATGTGCTATGAGCAGGGCAGTAATGTATCTAGTAGACTATTGGATGTGCTATGAGTAGGTCAGTAATGTATCTATATTTGATGTGTTGTGAGCAGGGCAGTAATGTATCTAGTAGACTATTGGATGTGCTATGAGTAGGTCAGTAATGTATCTATATTGGATGTGTTGTGAGCAGGGCTGAAAGGTATCTAGTAGGCTATTGTATGTGCTATGAGTAGGTCAGTAATATATCTATATTGGATGTGTTGTGAGCAGGGCCGTAATGTGCCTAGTAGGCTATTGGATGTCATGTGAGAAGGGCTGTAATGTATCTATATTGGATGTGTTGTGAGCAGGGCAGTAATGTATCTAGTTGGCTATTGGATGTGTTGTGAGAAGGGCAGTAATGCGTCTAGTAGGCTATTGGATGTGATGTGAGCAGGGCAGTAATATATCTAGCGGCTATTGGATGTGTTGTGAGCAGGGCAGTAGTGTATCTAGCGGCCATTGATATGTCTGTTTGACCACAAACAACAACACTTAACACCATATCATTGTTCGTACTTGTACGTGTATATATTAAGTATGGTCATCAAACGGGGGTCATCAGAGAAGCTCTGAGGGAACATGGAGATACATGGACGTCCCCCAGTCAACAACATTTCAGTGATATCAGCCTGTATACAAACAGTCGAATATGGGACATGCAGACCACAGGCTGACAGCAATAACACCGGTCCACATGTGTCATGGGCTCTATTAACAGCAATGCTTGCACTCGACTTTCGATGACGGCAGCAATGACACACAATCAGTGTCAAACGTTGTAACACTCAGTCACCATTATAACCAAGCATGACTGACTCCCTCCCTCACCACAAACTAGAGTTTTGTTTGTTGTTTAACACCCAACTCAGCAATATTCCAGCTGTATGACGGAAGTCTGTAAATAATAGGGTCTGGAGCAGACAATCCAGGGATGGACATCATGAGCATCGATCCACACAATTGGGATACGATGACATGCATCAACCAAGTCAGTGAGCCTGACCACCCGATCCCGTTAGTCGCCTCCCACGACAAGCATAGTTGCCTTTTGTTTTGTCAAAACTGTAACGAGTGAATGTCATTAAGAATTGAAGCATCGGGTTCACAGGATCAATATCAGGTAGCCCGTTAACTACTGTATAACATAATTCTGCAATTAGAGTGCCTTTCTTTTGTTGTCAAACGAAGTCGTGAATGGAACTAGAGCACAGTTCAAATACGTTTTGTTAAAAGATGATAACAAACATATATATAATCAAGATCCTTTTCTTTTATATCCTGGAAACATATATGAAATGTGTTGCTTCAAAGAACATTTATGCGTGAAGCCCATTTCTGGTGTCCCCCGTCGTGATATTGCTGGAATATTGCTAAAAGTGGCGTAAAATCAAACTCACTCACTCACTCAAAGAACATTTGGCAGCAACTACTTCGTGGTCAAAGGAAGATAATTCATGTGTCTTTACTTTCTCAGATGGAATTTCAATTACGAAGCGCGCTCATGGATGAGAAGATATGCGACTAAACACACAACAATGGAAGAAACATTGTACAAAGTTAAAAGTGAAACTTGACTTCATCAAGGGCTCATCAACCCCGTGTAGATCCCTGGTTAGAATTGGTCTTCAGCATGCCTGCCGTTAGGGGCGACCTAAGGAATCGGGTGGTCAGGCTCGCTGACTCCAGACTCGAGTATTTACAGACCACCGTCACATAGCTGCGATGTTTCTGAGTGCGGCGTAAAACAACAAACAAACTCACAGATGGAGCATTTAAATGCGTATGTCACTGAAAAGTTTATTCAATATACATGAAATATGACTTTCATATTAATGATAGTGGTTATCCTATCAGTCTACAAATTGCTGAAGTGTGTAGGCATTAGTAAATGTAAGAACAGATAAGATAAGATATATTATATGAAAGTGTCACATATTGTACATAATATAAATATAACATTATATTTAAACAATAAAACTGTACAAAATCCAGTCTGGTAAAGCTTAGGAGACATTTCTTGAAACATGATTAAATACATACATGTTCTAAAGTCATTAAATACATGCTAAATGTTTATAGAGTACTTAGGTGGATGTCTCAAGCACCAGTAAAAGTATTATCAGCGAGAGTTACTGATAGTAACGCTAGTAAACGGTCTTGCTGGATAATGAAAGTGAACGTGTAGCTATTTGAGTAAGTACAATATTCAGGGTTAAATTCCGTTGCCTCACAGAACGTATGTGGTATCCTGTGGCGCCGAGATTTGATTGCGTAATTGCGTCCCTTAGACGTGATAGGCACCTACAGTTGTGGGTTTGAATCCCAGACTGGCCTTGATTAAGTTTCTAGGTTTGTCAGCACCGTTTCCGTGCTCGTGGGTTTCTCCAAAGTTGTAAACGTCTACTACCTGCTTTATTCTTGTCTTGTCCCAACATTCAAACCGAAAATAGCCACTACAACTAATCTAATAATTCATTATGTGCTTGTCATGTGTATGGGCTCGTCCTGCCGATTTCCCAGGTTCGGTTGGTCAATGTGCCCCCGTTCCTCGAATACGGCTAAAAGCTGCATATTATCATATTCAATCATTCACTGTAATCTATGTTCAAATATGGTTGGCGTCTTGGGTATTTTTCACAAAACAAACTGTTCATTTGGGGCGTATTTCTGAATATTCATCATAAAAAATTCCCCGCGACGTGATCCGAGTATGTTTTGCTTCCTGGGGTCTCACTGGGGAATACTGCAGCTCAATTCCTTCACAGCATCTCCATTGCCTTCCACCACATACAGTTTACAATCACAGAACATCAAGCCGCATGGATACCGTATTCCATCCTGTGACGTCAGCAGGTCTGTGACAAACTTCCCTGCTGGTGTCAGTAGTACCACCTTGTGTGCCCAGGAGTCCGCCACCAGGATGTGTCCTGTGCTGGTAGTTGTGATACCTTGTGGTCTTCTCAGTCTCCTCACTCCTGTAGGGGTGCAGGTGAACACAATATCTCCCTCTGGTGTGATACAGTAGACTGAGTCTGAGTCAATATCTGACACCAGGATGTTGCCCCTGTCTGTAGCACAGAGGAAGCAGGGCTTACATATCAGGTTCTCCCCAGAGTTGAATCTACTGACTGACCTCATCACTCTCCCCGATACATCCAGGATATCAACACAGGGAGGACCCCTACAACCTGCTGCTAATGTTGAAGGACTCAAGGCTGTCAGACCCATGTACGTCTTCTTTGTTGTGACACGTGACTGTAGTACAAGGTCAGGGGTCACCCGTACTATTACAATCTCATTGTGTGACCAGAATGATACAGCAACCTGGTTGTCCCTCAGCCTCGTCACAGAGTATGGTTTACTTGGAAGATCCAGTTTACTGTGTCGTGATTTGTTATTCTTAGTGTAGAAGGATTTCAGACATGTATTGTTGTAGTCAGTGACCACCAGTGTCTCTTCACCGTCG